TCTATATAACTATGGTCATCTTATAATTTTTATTTTGGAATATGTGATCCTTCTCTTCCAGTTTATTGAAATTAAAAAATGATTTTAAATCACTGTATATTAGTTCTTCATAGGGAAAAATTGCACTATTCGTCCACTAATTATACCCTCGTTGCACTTTCATTCTTTAATTGTTTCCGGTTACAATTGGTACACTAATTTTTTTTTTTTTGGTAATTTTAGTCTAAAATTACATTTCGGTGCTCATTTTCGCCGGAATATCTAATGTGGCGTCCAGTCAGATCGAAATTTCCATTCTCGGCGTGATGTGGCACGAGGTGGCGCCTAGTCAGATCGAAAAAATTGCACTATTCGTCCACTAACTTTACATTCGTTGCACTTTCGTCCTTTAATTATAAAAACCAGTTTTTAATACTCATTTTTCAATTAAATTTACTATTCATCTATTTGTAATCTTTTAACTATTAACCATTTGCCACCAAAATAATCTTTTCTATCCTTTACTTCCTTTTTCCATTCAAACAAAATTTTCGAAAATAATGCATATTCAGTCTAGTAATTTTTTTTGTTCATTTAAAAAATTGGAACCCAAAATCATATTCTTCCCCATTTATTTTCCATTAAACTTTCTTCATATAAGCATAGTTTGATCCTTTTCCCCAAGACTAACACAATGAAAGGAAATGAAATATAAAAAATCTACCCGAATACCAAACATTGGCCATTTTTCGAACATTTTAATAACTGGAAGAGCTACTGACATTACCATTTTTTGAACATTTTAAAAATCAGTCATAAGTCGAGCGAGCGACAATGATACCATCGATTAAACATGAAAAAGAGAGCCACGAACTTTGCATGCGAGTTTATATATTATACAGAGGAGTTCACAAACAATATGAGACGAGGAAGATTTTCCAGGGCCAATGTGAAAAGTGCACCGAATATGAATATTAGAAGACCATGGTGTCTTTGCGGCATATGATCTGAGGGCTAGGCAGTTTAAGGACTTGGAGCCCTTGTCCCTCTCTCAACAACGAGCCTTTGGCCGTTGGAGTGTCCATTCTAGTAATCACCAAGAGAGTCTCGTCCTTCTCGACGGCTAGCCGATAGACGACCCACACACTAGTTGGAGTACTTGTCAAGTTCAAATCGAAAAGGATGACAATTAATCATGAGATATTTGAAATCCACATCAACAAAGGTATAAGATAAGATTGTTTGGTGCACTTCTAAAAACTGTAACTATCAAATGAAAAATAACTATAAAGATGTCTTCCATGTTATTTACATAGTTAGAGAAAGATGTTTTGTAGCATATTCAATAATCAAGAGAAACTAAGAGGAACCCTTAAAATAATTAGCTTCGCATTTATAGGCAAACTAAATCGATGCGAGTTTTGTCCAAGCTAACTCGTTTCTTTACCTAGTTTAGAATATATGGAAGCGATGCCAAATATAGTAGAATAGCGATGCCAAATAGTAGCCCTGTTACCAATTATAATGAATAAAACATATGTCAATAATCTGCATGTCATTGTTCAAATGAGTTTAAATGTACTAAAAAAAGTTACTCGATGACCTTTATATTGTTGCAACAGAAAAAATGAAGTTACATAACAAAAGCAAACATAAAAATATGCATGTCAAAGAGTTATGAAAATGGCAGGGAATAGAAAATAAATGTTTTGATTACTTACTATCCTTTGAAGTTTTCAAGTCGAAGAATTCTGAATTAAATAGTTCAAAACCTGGTCGTCCGATTAATCGTCGATTAATCGCGATTAATTGTCCGACCAGGGCATATGGACGACCAGGACATATATTTGTCTTTTTTGGGCTGGTATGTGGGCTGCTGGACTTGGCCTGATTTGGCCTGTTAGGGTTAGGATATATATAGGAAGGAGGCAGCCCGATTAATCTAGCTGGTCGACGATTGATCACGATTAATCGTCTGGTCGGTCCGTGGTCGACCAGGTTTGACCAGCCGACCTGAAAACATTGTCAACTACATCGATTTCGACCTTCCTGAGGATGTATCCGAATCTAAGTTGATATCCAAAGTCCATGAGTTTCATGGTTTGTTGAGTTTGAATTTTATTCGAGTTTTCTTTTGATTTTATTTATCCTACATTCTTGTGACATGATTGTGTTAAAATCCATTGAGTGATTACCTAAAAACATATAATCTATTCTCACAACAATCTCATAGATTTCACTTTTTTATGAAGACAACTTATGTTTACCATTACTTTATGATCTATGATGTTTGAAATATGTGTTTTCTTCTTGAGATAAATAAAATGCAATAAAATTGAAAACTGAAGATTGTGTATATGGTTATTACAGGTATATTGGTACAACTATCATTACCTAAACATATAAATGAGGAGAAAATTTAGAGTGAAATATCGCTCGAAAAGGATGTCGATGGATTTCATCCCCTAATAATTTTTCTTATGGGTTTAGAAGTAGTGTAAATATTTTAACAAGCTTTTATGTTCTTTAGAGGGGTAAGAGATTTGCTTTAGAAGCACCACTCGCAAGGTTTCTCAACGCCCCTGATGAATAAATCCACGTCGTCATCTCTCGGCCTCCTCATAGAAATCGTAGAGATTTTTCGCCGCAATTTTCTTGCCGCAATTTTCATGTTAAGGTTTGTGTGAGGTAGATTTCACATGTTTTCATTTGGATTCTTTTGAAATTGAACCTAGAGTTGAATCTGTTTCTTCATGGAAATGCTTGTAGCAAACAGAATAATTGACTTTGAATGTAAGTTGGTAAGTTTTCCATGTGCGTGTGGTGTGTGTGTGTGTGTGTTTTCCTTGTATGGATATCAGTAGTGATATAAAAAAGGTCCTGAAGAAGACTTTGATAACTGCTATGGAAGCATAAAAAAATTACTCTACCTTTTGAATTCGTTGATAATGAAGATTGCTTAATTTCTTTACGAAATTTTCAGGCAGATGTCAATAAGAAATGGTAAAAGAGCTCTTGGGGGTAGGAAACTTATTGTTCAAAAGTAGTGTTATTAATGGCAAATGATCTGCCAAAATTCCGCCATAACCGTCGTGGCGGCCTATTGCGCCACCATGACTGCCAAAATTTTGCATAAGAAGTAAGAGAAGACTAGCAAGTTTTGTACGTTAAGGAGTTGAGCTGTATAATTGACCAAAGAGTGGGATAATTGTGATTGTGGACATTATATGAAATGAGTAAGAGAAAGTGTACCCACGAATTCACAATGAGGATGTGAAAATTTTTTGTAACTTGGTTGATAGTTGGTCTCCCTTTATTCATTCAAAAATTTACAATACGGGTACATTTTATTTTCAGTCGAATAGGCCACTAACTTTCAATTTTTGTGCTTGAATCCAATGAGATTACTGCAACATCATTTGGTGTTGACTATGAAAAGAAGCCACATTTTTTTTTTTTTTGGTACAAAAGGAGAGGCCGAAGCCACATTGAGTGAGCATATTTGATAACTGCTTATTTCTTATACGGAACATTTTTTTATACAGATCTATAATTCTGATTGTATTTAGGCTATGTTTGGTAAAATTAACTGATAAGCTAGATGATAGCTGATAAACTAGCTTCTAGCTTATATGTAATATTTTCTTTTCTTGGGGGGTCACTTCAATGCATTTCTCGTTCAAAATATTTTTTTTTTTCTTGGGCTAACTTCAATGCATTTCTGGAGTTCTCATATCTAAGAAAACAACAATAGTAAAGTAACCTAGAATTTGTGACAGTCCCGCTCACCTGCCCACGGTGGGCAGTGCTCACTAATTTGTTTTATATGAAAAACGTATTCTGAGAATACATTTTTTAATTAAATTTAATTGAAAAACGTATTCTCAAAATACGTTTTTCATATAAAACAAAGTAGTGGGCACTGCCCACCGTAGGAAGGGGATTATATTTAGAATTTGTGATGCCACATATTAAATTGATATCATTTGTAATGCATAAAAAAAAATATCAAACTTGGGCTTACAAAGGATCTTTTAAACGACAATGGCAATGTAGATTGGTGTACTTAAGTTCACATTCAAATTGATTATTTTCCATGTAGAAAAAAATTCCGCAGTTGCTTTACATCCATGGATGAGAAAAAGTTCGATGCTCTTTCCAAAATCATATTACATATGTGAACAAAGTCGATTTTTATAATTACTTTGCATTCTAGAATTTTTTTCTAATTCATTAGATTGACAATTTCAAAATTTTTGTCCTCACGCGCACTAACAATTCCACGAGGTATGCATATAGAATTCTCTTTTTATTCTTTCAGTTATATACAAACAATTCCAACTAAAATAATACTCACGTAATTCTTAATTAAAATAATTTTAGATTTTGAATTGGGCCAGGCTGTGTTGTGCACAGCCGAGAACAAACTAGTTATTATATAACTAAACAATAAAAGAAACCTAGCTAGAACGACTATGTGCATTATGTTAAAAAAAAAAAACCCAAACACCCCAATTTTTTTTTTCTTAAACTGAATCATTAATTTAATGGAAACATTAGATAAATTGAAAAAAATATGTCACCAATTACAAAATATTTTTTTTTTTTTGCGTATAGCAAAACCTACAAATGTAAAAATATGCTTAAAAACTTAAGATGTGCAAGAAAGGAGATTTTAGCAGTCAGTCGATAATCTGTAGCAGTTACATCTCAGGAACATTGGAATCATGGTACAATATAGTTATACTAGTACAACTCCCGTGTATTACACGAGTGCTTGTTAATTTTTTTTTTTAAAATCTAAAATAATGAGAAAAATAGTTAAATATTTAAATACTTTTTATAAAAATATATATTATTATATATTTAGTATGACACTTTTTATTTGTGCGACTTACCTGTGTTATATTATAATAATTTTTTTTAACTTGCAACATATAACTACATTAAACATAATTATCAATTGATAAATAATTTTATTTTTTTAATGAATTTTAATAAATATAATTATTTATTATTATTATTATAAATATAAATATATACAATATGGATGTCATATTGAAGATAATCAAAAGATGATTAATTTGATATATTATATATGTAAAACGGATAAGAAATACAAAAGTTATCAACTTTTAAAATATATTTACAATTCAATAGCTAATTGAAGGAAACAAATCAAAAGTCAGGGATATATTAGTCACTTATCTCACTATGTAAAATTATAAGGAATTAAAAGTTATTAGTACAATGATATTAAAATACTTAAGTTAGCTAAATAATATTTATGGAATGTCCAAACCTAGATTATTAATTATTAATATATCAATATTATTTGTCCAAACCTAATT